TGCAAACTTTTAAGACGAACAGGCGCGGCGCTGCTAAGGCGAGAGCTCTTTTTTGAGAGCGACCCGCCCTCCACCCTTGAAATCGTTGCAAGTTTCAAGCTTCAGGATCACGCATGCTGAAGGAATCTCATGCGGATCGCCGGGGCCGCCCTACCGACAAGTCAGTGGATGCGACAGTGAGGAGTTCTTCACGGTATGTTCATGCGGCGATGGCGCGCCAGCGACGCCGGCGAAGGCGTTCAAGGTTGAATTCCGAATGATAGAACGACGTGGAAGCATTGAGGGACATTGCAACGCCATGGGACCCGACGGAATTCAACCTTGAACGATCGGGGCCGCGATCGGTTCAAGGCTGCACGATCGACGCGGCGTCAAAGACCTTTGCGCGCGCCGACGCCGCACGAACCAACCGTATGCGTAAAAGGGATGGAGGGGAGGCTGGGGGAGGGGGATAAGGAGGAGGAGGAGGAGGAGGAGGAGGAGGAGGACGGTATGGCGGCGCGCGCAGGCAGGAGGCAGGCAGGGCGAGAGCGGGGCGGCCCTCGAGCGAGAAGCCCCGCCCTCCTGAGGACCTCCCGCCCTCGTAGTGCCCCCCCTTGTTGGGGGCCCTCCTGCCTCCTCCTGCCCTTTGCAGTTGCCCGTCCGCGCTTGTCGCGCGTCTCTCCTTCCCCTTCCTGCGTGCGCCCTCTCTCTCCTTCCCCTCTGCATCGCCGCGGAGGTGTGCATGCAGCTTGCAGGGCGGACGCCGTGAAATACGGCACCGCTGCCCACACACCATAGACGTGCCCATGGGCTGCTGCAGCCTGCGGCTTGGCGGGACCCGACCTGTCTGAGGCGGCTCTGAAGATGGGGCAGGTCGGGCGGGGCCAGCACGAGGACGAAGTCGGTTCTAGAACGCCCAGGTAAGGCCGCGGCGCCCGAGACGTCCTCCAGAGCCGCCGGATCTGATAGATTTTCGATGTACAGTGGAGGCAGGTCCACAAGAAACCCTCCACAAGAAACCCAACCCTGAGACCCCAGGACGTGCATTGATTTTTGGTGTGGGAACGTCACGCTTTCCATAGCATACGGCAGGTTCGCGTCGCGTCGACCGGCGACGACCCCGCCGCAGGCGTTCTGCGTTGAACGCTGCCCGCGGCCCAGAATCGGTCGATGTTGAACGATCTTGACGTTTCGGGAACGGCCGATCGTTCAAGGCCAAACGATCCCCGCGGTGTCGGGAACCAACGCCGGGGTCGACACGACACGGACCTGCCGTAACCACCGAAACCCAAGAAACCCAGGGCACCCTGGAGGCAAGCAGGGTGCTTCTTGGCATGTGTCTCCACTGTATGCTCACCCGGTTTGGTCCCCGCCCTGGCCTTGTCCGGCAGAAGGCCCTCCTGCCGAGACCACCCCCCCGCCCGCCCTTCTCAGAGGCCTCTCTCGGGTCGCGGGGCCTGCGGCTCCCCCCGCGCCGCCAGCGGCAGGGTCGCCCCTGCGAGGCCCGCTTCGGTGCGAGTTGCGAGGCCGAGGCACCAGCTGGGGCCGCGGGGCCGATGCGCTTCGATTCTCGGCCAGTTTGAAGCCTATCCCTATCCTTCTGTTTGGCATCACCTTACCCCGGTGCCGATCCCAAGGGTGCCCGCAGTTTGTGAGGGCACATCCCTAAGATTGGAATCGCATTTGGCTTGCCGATCCTAGGGATAGGGATGAGTTCGAGTCTGGTCAGGTTCTCGGCCATACGCCGAGGAGGGTACAGTGGAGACCCATGCGAAGAAACACCCTGCTTGCCTCCATGGTGCCCTGGGTTTCCTGGATTTCGGTGGTCATGCTATGGAAAGCGTGGCGTTCCCACACCGAAAATCCATGGACATCCTGGGGTTTCAGGGCTGGGTTTCTTTTGGAGGGTTTCTTGTGGACCGGCCTCCACAGTAGGGGGAGGGGGGGGGCTTCTTGGAAGCACCCCTGCTTCTGAGAAGGCGGGCGCCAGGGGGAGGCAGGAAGGCTTCTTGGAAGCGCCCCTGCTTCCCAGAGGGCGCGGGCCCTGTCTGTGGATATATGGCGCCAGCGCCTTCTCGGACGCAGCCTCCCTCCGATCGTAGGTTGATAGACCTCCTACCCTGACACGTCGATTGAGGAATTGGCCGTGTTCGGTTCGCGAGAGGGCGCCGCGGCCGTCATTTTTGCGGGTCCAGGTCCGTCGGTTTCGGTCCCAGGCCGCTTTCACTAAGGGGGAGGTTTTACTAAAGGGAGGCTTGTCCACCGCCGAGCCGATGAGCCCCAACCCCCCTCCCAGGCCCGCCTGTGCTCGCCGCCGAGATCCCAGCCGGTGCACCAGCGGCATCGGCCAGAGCGGGCCGGGGGCCGGGCGCGGCGGGCCGGCCCGTGCCCAGTCCGACCGGGCTCCGCGGTGCGGTGCAGCTCCGCCCTGGAGGGAGTGGCACCTCGGGGGGCGGAGAGGCTCGGGCCGAACGAAAGGGGGCGATAGGGAAGGGGGCGGGTGCGAAACCTGCTGCATGCCGCTGGTTTCGGCCCCGCCGGCGGGCCCATTCCTCGACACATCGGCGCCTCCCGGCGCCGGGAAAATCAGCTGCGCGAGCTGACTCTCAAATCCCCCCTTTGCTATCCCACCCTTTCGCCCGGCCCGAGAGGCAGGGGATTTACCAGTTTGGAACATATCCCTATCCCTATGATTGGCATCACCTCACCTCGATGCCGATCTTGAGGATTCCCTCAGTTTCTGAGGACCTATCCCTAAGATTGTCCTCGCTTTTTGCTCGCCCATCTTAGGGATAGGGATACGTTCGACTTAAGGATTCCCTCAGTGTCTGACGGCCTATCCCTGGGATTGTCCTCGCTTTTTGATCGCCCAGTTTAGGGATAGGGATACGTTCGAGGCTGGTCAGGGATGCCGCGTTTCGTGCCCTGCTGCCGTGTCTCCGGTCGGGGTTCTCGGCCTCCTGCGGGGCGGGGGGGGGGGGCCGCGGCCCGAGGGCCGCAGCAGCGCGCATAGTTGTTCCAGGGCAGGCCCGCCGGCGGGTGCTCCGGGGGGGAGGAGCCCAGGCATGCGGGCCGAAGTCGGGCCTGTCCCCCTGAAAAAAAAATGAAAAATATAGATAAAAATGTAATCAACCTATTTTTTATACATAAGAAAAGTCGGGCCTGTCCCCCTTGCAGGTGAAATGCCCCAGAATAGCCGCCGAAAAATAGTCTGGTGACAATTTTGTCGACCATTTTGGGGCTCTGTCTGATTCGTGCTTGGCTGCGTTTGGTTTCTCTTCCAAAGTCCGCCTATAGGAGGACATGCCCAACCTGAATGCAGGCGTGACGAACAAAGCAAATCTTGCACGAGTGTTCTCTCGAGGCTTCGGGCGTCATGGGCGGTCGTTTCTGGCCACCATGGCCCTGAGAAAATTACAGCTGCACCGACCATCAAGAAATCGTCCCTCGCTTGACTGGCAAAGCGTTTCTTCGGACAGCCTTTTTCTAGTTTTCCCCCGTGTCCATCACAAAACTACAGCACCTGCCTGCGACGGGGCACCGGTCCTGTGGGAGGTGGTCGAGGTTCCCAGAGGCTCGCGTCAAGACGAAGCTGCCTCGTGCTTCCACAGGCGCGCTGCAGAAGGCCACACCAGGTCAAATCTGAGACTGCGCAAAGCAATGAATTTGTTTCGGGGGGAAGGGACCAGGGAGGACAATGAGGAGGAGAAGGAGGAGCGAGGAGAAGGAGGAAGAGGCGGACCACCAGGTACAGGCGGACGAGGGCAGGTCACCCTGGAACTGGGGGCCACTCGGCCTCAGGTCGAGCCAGGGAGACGCCTGGAGCGCCCGACCTCGTCCCATGATCCTCCTGTGTGTGCGTGTGTGCGTGTGTGTGGGGGAGCATCCAGCCGCCTTTACACGCGATCCGAAGCGCACCAGCATGGCCTTCCTGTGGCCCTCAAGCAGTGTCACCCCAACGGACTCCAGCTGAGGCATTCCAGAAAGGGCCTCGCCTTCGAAGATCGAAGGAGTTGATGACTCGTCCTCGGCGGCAGCGGACGAGAAGGCAGCATGGAAGGCGGCGGGAGGCCCGCGGAAGACGGCGAAGGTCGAATTGGCCCTCCAGTGGGTGCCAATCTTTTTGGGTGCGGGGTTTCTGGTGCGGCCCAGTTGGCTCCTCCTCCTCCTCCTCCTCCTCCTCCTCCTCCTCCTCCTCCTCCTCCTCATGCTCCTCCTCCACTGGGCGCCCGAGATGAGGAGACAGTTATTGCACATCCCTCGCGTGCTCGCACGTCGGGTGCATGTCGTGCGGATTTTCCCAAGCCTCGTCAGGGAGAGAGGAGGAGTGCTCTTCGGCCTCGGCTGCGCGCCACACCGGCACCACTGAGATGCCGCTCCCTGCAGCATGCGTGGGACCGTGCTGCAAGCTGGAGCCGAAAGAAGGCTCAGGCACAGGCAACGAGGAGGAGGAGGAGGAGGAGGAGGAGGAGGACAGGGAGGACAGGGAGGACAGGGAGGAGGACGAGGCGGACGCCAGCCGCTCTGGCTCTGGGCCCTGGGAGCAGCTCAGGCACAAGCAACGAGGAGGAGGAGGAGGAGGAGGCGGCGGAGAAGGAGGCTGAAGGCTGAAAGCAGAAAGCACGACGCCTGGTCAATGCCAGGTTGCGCCACCCAGGGCGGGCCCCTGCTCCGTGGGGCCGGCGTGCCAGCCAAGGGCACCACGGCTCTACTTGCAGGCCCGACCGGGCCAGGGGGCAGGGGAGGAGGAGGAGGAGGAGGAGGAGGAGGAGGAGGAGGAGGAGGAGGAGGAGGAGGAGGAGGAGGAGGAGGAGGAGGAGGAGGAGGAAGAAGAGGAGGAGGAGGAGGAGGAGGAGGAGGATACGCCAGGCGCGCTCGCGTCATGTCTGACGTCCTATCCCTCCCTCCCACCCCTTACCATGGCGTAGATCAACCTCTCTATGCGCACAGTCGGATGTCGCAGCATGCCGTGGGGTGGCGTGGCAGAGGAGCAGGCGGAGGAGAGCGCCGAACGGGAGGACCGCCCCCTCCCTGGGGCAGCCGGCCCCGCGGCGGCCGGTGCTGGTGGCGCCGCCCCAGGAGCCGCTTTGCTGCCGCCGCCACGGGCGTCGTCGTCGTCGTCGTCGTCGTCGTCGTCGTCGTCGTCGTCGTGGTCGTGGTCGTGGTCGTGGTCGTGGTCGTGGCCGTCGTCGTCTCAGGGGCAACGACTGGGCGAGGTTTGGCCCAGAGGGGGGAGGAGGAGGAGGAGGAGGAGGAGGAGGAGGAGGAGGAGGAGGAGGAGGAGGAGGAGGAGAAGGAGGAGGAGCCGGAGCCGGAGCCGGAGCCGGAGCCGGAGCAGGAGGAGGAGCCGGAGGAGGAGCCGGAGGAGGAGCCGGAGGAGGAGCCGAGGAGACGCCAGTAGAAGGTGAGTCCAAGTCGCCCGAACCCAGTCTACACCGAATATATAAACAAAACCTCGAGGGCCCCAGATCGGTATCAGCCAGGACCCAGGACCCTCAGCCGCTATCTAGGCGGCAGCCCACTCCTCAACCTCTGGAGGCGGGTCTTCTGAGCGCTGAGAGTCTTGGGGACCTCCGAAGGTCCCTGACAAGGGGCTTTGAGACCAAGCACCCTCCCAGACTCCCCAGCGAAGCACGCACACCGCACACAGAAGACGAACGCACCCGCCTCAGCCATCCGATGGCCGAGGTCGCGGAACAGGGCCAAGTCGGCAAAACTCCGAGTCCCAGAACCCTCCCCAGAGCTCGGCGCCCAGGTGGGGCCCGTCTCAAGGACCCTTGCCGCCGCCTCCAGGGCGACGTGGACCGCATCGGAGGTCGGCCTCCAATCGGAGCAGCGAGAGAAAGCACGGGCGGCCTGCCAGCGCTGCACTTCGGTCGGCGTGCAGCGCGCCGAGCAGGACCTGAGGGCGCGGAGACCAGCTGCAGTCCTGGTGGCGACTCCACACCGCCTGCATCTCCATTCCTGGGCGGCGTCGCTCCTATACATGCTGTGGCACGAGAGGGGCTCACCAGGCTCTAAAATTTCAACGGGGGTTGGGCGGGGGCCAGGCCTCGGACGAGAACGAGCAGCTCCCTCCGACAACGACGACGCCCCAATCCCCAGATCAATGGCCCGACCCCCAGCCCAAGCCAGATATTTGGCGAACTCCTGGCACTCCTTGAGCGCGATCCGAAACAGATCAGCCGTGCCCTGTCCAACCATCTGGCTGGCAGCACCAGCCTTGGCAAAGAAATCAGCCCAGGCATTTCCCAGGACGTACAAAAACGGCGGGCCAGATCCAGGGGTCGCCAGGGCCGCATCCGACAGGTCCCTATGGGCAGGACACCAATGAGTGGTGGGCGGGACCCCTCCGCGACGCACGACCGCCGCGCGAAACTGCCGCCACACAGCGGCATGCTCAGCCCCTGGACCTTCAGACTCCGCACTCCACTCCTGAGCTTCATTGGCCAGGCCCAAAAGATCAGTGACAATGACCTGCAGCGACGGGATTTTTTCCACCGCCCGCAAATAGGCGACCCGTTCGGCCCCGCCAACCGTCTGACTGGCGCCTCCGAGCCTGCCATAGCACGCTCTTAGTGGCGTGCCCGACGCGCTCAGCTGGACAACGCCCCAGCCACACGCCCTAATCTCTGGTTGAGACGACCACATACCCGACCCGTCCGTGAATGCAGCATTGGACCACTGCGAGGGATCAGATTCCCAATCCCCCCACCAAAAAATCGGCGGGTCACGCGGAGGGTCAGGAGGTCTCATCGGGAGCAACGGGAGCCCAACCGACAACTCAAAACTCTCAGGGTCCAGAGCGGCGCCTGGGCGCCCAACAGGCCCCTGGTCCAGAAACCTATCACGAGTTTTGGCCAGGGCCTCAGAAATCGGAACTTCATCTTCAAATTCCAACAGCTGCTCACGCAGCACAGGGCACTCGAGCAACAGGTGACCACACGTCTCTCTGTCCGCTCCGCAGCCCCTACACTTAGGATCGGGGGCGAGCCCTTTGTCATGCAACTTGGCCTGGGGCCACCAGGAGTCAGACCAGAGAGACCGAAGGATTCCAGCCGACCTGGGGTTTTTGAGCGCGGCCCACTTGGACTCAGCACAGGCGCGGATCCCACGGGGCCACAACTCAGCGCCCGCGGGGAAACCAGGAAAATGAGCCTGGATGCGACGCATCTGCCAGCGCTGGATGCCAGCACGAAGCAACTTGATTAAATGCTGCGGATCAATCTGTAGCAAAGAGTACACCATTCCCTGATCGGAACGGATCAGCACAGAAGACTCCATGCACCAGTCAACACGACGGAGAGACAGCGCCACCACCGAAAGCGGGCCCGAGGCATGGAGCCAGGAGAATTTCTGACCCCGCTTTTCGGCCAGGGCCCTCCAGGCCCTCTCGAGAGTCCCCAGGGACACAGTCTGCATCCAAACCACCTGGGCGTAGTGTTTGACTGGGGCGATCGTGGCTTCAAAAATCGGGTCACACCACGGATCCGACTGAGACGCCAAGTAGACCGTCAGGGACCCCCCACGACCCTTGGCGCCAACCAAAGCCCCCGCAGCAGCTCTCAACTTCCGAAGTTCGGCGCCCGTGGTCCCAGAAACTGCACAGCAATGACTAGCACCTGGAAGCAGGCCAGTGCGCCACAGGACGGACACACGAGTCCCTGCCACCTTCTGCAGAGGATAAACCCGCTTCAAGCGACGACCAAGCTTAGCGATTCTCTGTCGGGCGAGCGGCCGCCTGCGCTCACGCCCAGAGAGCTCGTGGCCAAGGTTACGCATGTTACGCTTTGCTTCCAGCCGAACCGCTCGGGCCCAGGGTTTCGAGGCCCGCAGGACCTTACGATTGGCCACCACGTAGCCAGACTTCCCCGAGGCCGAGTCCTGGAGAACGATCCCCAGAGGTTTAACATCAGCTTTGAAGTTGGCCAGCGCAGTAAAAAGTTTAGAGATCCCACCCGCCTCCACCCCCACCCACCGAATCGTGAGGTCATCGACCAAGGCGCGAGGCACGACGCCACTCGCTCGGACTCGCCGCACAGAGCGCAGGGTGAGGAGCGCGAGGAGGGAGGTAGAATGGCACAGCCAGCAAGCATGCCTTGCCAGGAAACAAAGGCCTCTGAATAGGAAGTGAAAGCCTTCAGTACCCTCGGCTGGCGATGGTATTCGATCACCATCCAGGCCAGCCGAAGAGGAAAACCATGGTGGCGGGCCTCACTAATCAGCTCGCCAGGGCTGACGGACTCGTAGGCCTTCCACGCGTCCACCGCCGCCGTCGCCGTGTGCCAGCCAAGCAGCGACGCGACCTCCACCATCAGGTTATGTTCGAACGCCGCCGCCGAGGAAGTGCGACCAACGCCTCCAGCTCCCCAGACATCACGAAGGTCTGTCTGAGCAACCCACTGCCGACTGATGGAGCTGCGGGCCTTAGCCCACACACGAACCAGCGTCTGTACCAAGGCGATGAGACGAGACCCGCCTCCTTCCTTCGGCAGCCTAACCAGCGTGGTGACTATGCGATTGTCTGGCCGGAATCCCAAAATCTCGCATCGTTGAAACAACTTTGACAGCACGATGAGACCTGCGTCCGAGAGGTGCCACAACGCTCGAGGAGCAATCCCCGACTGACCCACAGCAGCCTTCGCCTTGAACTTCAGGCAGACAGCCCGCAGCATGGCCACGGACATCCCGGGCAGGTGGTCCCAGTCGTCGAAGTCGCAGGGCCGAGAACACTGCGTGAGGCCATGCACCGTCCAGATCTTCTTCCACTTGCCCATCTCTCGCTGCACTAATTGATGGGGGCTGGCCCGAGTGGTCTGCTCCAGCACCTCCTGCAACGGGTGAACACGGGTAAAACGATGCGCCATTGAAGCACCGCCACTTAACGCATCACGAGCCCACTGACGCCAACTGGCCCCTTGCTCACGCTCGAACTTCTTCCTAGCGTCATCAGCACGATCCAGGAAGCTTTGTACTGTGTGTCCAGCCACAGGGTCTGTCCAGACAGTGATGCCACGAGCCAAGAACTGCGCCAGGTCCACATCCAGCTTGCCAAGCGTCTCCGACGCCCGACCAATCTTCAAGTAGAACTGATTCAGCTCACACAGCAACCCAACTAAACGAGAAGTCTGACCACTAGTGACCGAGCACACCACGTTGGCCGCCATCAGCCCCTGCCCAAGCTCACAAACCTGCTGCCACATCGAGCGACCATGCCTGAGCCAGCGTGCCGCCACCTGCAGCGCCGCCACCTGCGGGGTCTGGTACACTCTCCGCCGAGGGGGCTTCCACTCAAGCTTCACCATGCGAAAGGCAACGTCACCCCCACGGCCTCCATGCGACGAACGATCCGAATGTCGGTGTCCCCATCGATCAGAAAGCTCACATTCAATACTATGCAACACCTGGTCCCAAGCTCGCTGTAGGCCCACCTGGCCCTCAGCTGTCAGAACACAATGTAATGCACGTTCCCATTCACGAGTCCGCGGGAAAGGCGCACAGCCAATCGGGGCCTCGGACCCTCAGCCACGAGGCTCCACGGGCAGGCGAGCCCACGCCTCAACATCTTTCACAGCCAAGGGAAAGTGAACAGGGTGATGAGGGTACAGCTCAGACTCCTGGTCCACCCAAGGTGGGTCCACCCGCAAAGCTAAATTGCTGCAAACAATGCCGAAGTCGATGATGCTGCCTTGGCCTTTCACGCAAGTACTCTCCCGCGGCACACAATGGACTCCTGGAAACCCTTGGCTCCAACCTGCCATCAACACATCCGAGCTCATGCTGAAGTCGCCAACACAGACCCAATCAAGCTTTAAAGCCGAAAGCAACAGCAAGTAGTGTTGCAGGTGGGCCTGAATGAACGCGTTCTCGTCATTGAGTCCGACCGAATCGTGAAAATAGGCTGACACAACTACGATGCCATTGCGCACTCCCCAGTGAACATGAGCAGCACAAAGCCTTCCAGGCGCAATGTCCTGGTCGAAGTAGGGCGCCGCAGTGACCGAGATGTGCGTCTTGGTGAGGATCGCCACGCCACCAGAGGTTCCACCACCTTCTGACGGCACCGCAGCACTCCACAC